AATTAGAATCTCATTGTTAATAAGATTTTAGTTACATGGGCTGCGAAAAAAGAATGAAAATGAAAACTAACCCGCCATAATTTATTTTTGAAATAATACTTTGTTTAAAATGTTTCAATTTGTTACTATATGTTTTTGCTCAAAGAAAACTTTATTACATATTAAAATGTTGACCTTTATTGTAGTATGATTATTAAAACTGTATAATAAGTCGACTATGTGTTGTTGTTCCATTTAACATTATACAGACTGAAGTAAACAAACATTTAAAATCTGCTTAAGCAGTGTACGTTGGTCACACTATCTCATTTCGAACAATTTAAAAGCAAAGTAAATACAATTTAATATGTTTTTACATTTTCGGATGTCAGAAAGTTCTCCAGAACCCATCACATGAACAAGGTTAAGTCAAATATGCGTTTTTAATTGTAATACAAATGGTCAAGAAAATTGTAATCATGATTTAAAGTATCGACCTTTATTGTAGTATGATTATTAAAAACTATAATACATCGACTATGTGTTGTTGTTCCATTTAACATTGTATAGAAGTATACAAACATCTAAAATCTGCTTAAACACAATACATTGGTCATACTATCCTATTTCGAACAATTTAAAAGCAAAGTAAATACAAATTATGTTTTAACATTTTCGGATATCAGAAAGTTCTCAAGAACGCAACACGTAAACAAGGTTAAGTCAAATATGCCTTTAAGTGTAATATAAATGGTCAAGAAAAATGTGGTCATGATACATAAATGCACGCATTTGCCACAATCGTATATTGAGCCCAAGTTTTTTTAGAAAAGCAGACCTGATGAAAATTTGTATGAACATAATCATAGATAAATTTAGTAGAACTTTTTGTACATTTACCAGCAAATTCTGGTCCGAGCACGGACCCAAATCCTCCAAAGAAAAACTCGACACCAATAGCTGCTGATACGTGTCTTATACCAACGAAAGACATATTAACTGATGTCATTAGAACGTAACAGCAGCCAAAAAATAGCCTATATTTCCTGCAAGTGTATTTGAAATGTGTGGATATACAATTGTAGCCACTGATACCACAGCAAATGAACCAGAGTACAACCATTTGTCTATAGAAGTATGAAGATTTGCGACGAATTCAGTTAAAAGACGACCAATGACAGTTAATATCATATATGATGCCTGAGCTTTCGAAAATCCTTTAGACACAATATAGACCTGTAGACATGAAGATGTAAATTAATAAAAAATGTACCGATATAATTCAAGACATGCCAAAACTTAAAAGAAAAATAGGTTTCTTGTTCAATGCTTTAAAGTATTGCTTGTAAGCGTCTATGAATCGTAGGTTTGTGCCTCCATGTGGCAAAGCATTCCGATTGTTGTGAATGCGCATCTTGTGTATGTAGCTCTAGATAACAAGGGAAATATGAGGCTCCGAAAACTATAATGTTCAGCGAATTTGCAGTTGGTATGATGAAAAATCCTGTAGCTCCATAGTAATCGTTTGCAAGTTGCATAAGTGGTGCAATTGCGAATAGGCCGGACCCAATTCCAGTACAAAACCTAAAGCAATGTCACGTCTCACTTTGAAATTGAATCCAATCACAACCATACTAGGAGTTAACCCAAGACCAGCACCACATCCTAAAATGTAAATTTAATTATCAAAAAGGTAACAATAAATGTCTAAAATTACATAAAAATGTCCCTCCACCATGAAAATATCATTGGTTTGTCTAGTAAATCGTTTAAACTATTAAAAGGTAAAATTTTGTTAGTGTGAGTTGAGTATTTGAAGAGAGTGTCATACAGCAACAAATGCCGAAGGTGAAGATAAAGTTTGAATATTTTGGTGCAAACGTTGTTCCCCATACCCATCTGTAAACAGCATTCCGGATAAAATAACGGCCGTCCGGCAGCTGAATCGATCCGCAATAAAGCTGGACAACGGTGCTTTAATATATAAGCTATTTTGTTAATGAGTTATGATTGAGTTTTTAAAAAATATGCATTTGTTCTTATATCAAAATATGATTGTTTCAATTTAATCAAAACATATCTGCTTTAATTCACGAATGTACATTTTTACCAACTTGAATAGTTAGTATTTAAAGGCGCAGTATGCCCAAGAAACGATTTTATTTTTTCGAAACTTTTTTAATTATTGGTGTATAGCTAACTTAAAACCATAAATTACTTAGTGAGGTAGCTAATTTAAAATAAATTATTATTTCTGTAGCTCGTACATAAATAGTGAATTACTAGTTTGTATGGAAATATTTCAAAGAAGTTTTACATTCAGCGTTATTTTCTCCAGGTGATAAGCATATAGATGATCTTAAATCATTTAAAATATAAAATCATGCTTACCTTCCAAAGGAAGAAAAATTTAATATGCCCTTAAAATTTGGGCCCAAATAATTATAAAAAAAAAATAGAGAAAGAGAATTCCCCAAATGCCCAAAACTGTAAAATTTTAAAATGTTCACGCCCCTTTGAGATAAGAGTCTTTTTACGTCTTTTTAGATATAAGGTTTAAACCCCTGATCCCCCTTTAAAATTCCATTTTAAATTTTTCCCCCCCATTTTTTTCTTTTTGGGACAGCTTTTTTTTAATTTTGGGGCTATACGCCCCCTTTTCATGGTGGAGGGAAGTTCACATTGAAGGTTCCATGATAACCGCCGTATGAACACATCTGCGGATGTTTCTAAATTAAAAATTTTACTACTTCATTCAAAACATTATTTGCATCTGTAACATAAAATTTTATTTTTTATTCGTCCACTCCATAGTATATATCACTTACAACATTGAGTTTCATTGACGAACATTAATTAAAGGATTAATTAAATTAAATGATAACGAGTCTCACTCAAATTAAAGGACCATTTAAGCATATTTATTTTAAAGATTTATAATTTATCAACATTTTAACAGGTAGTAATTCCTTACCGTAAAAACAGTCAATTTTAACTCGAATAAATCACATTAATTTACTGTATTCCAACTTTACTCATGTTTGCTGAATTTGTTTTTTTTTTTTTTTTCACATGTGATCTTTTCTTAAATTTAACTACATTTTAAGCATTAACGACTGCCAATGTATCAAATTTCATAAAAAGGTTCATAATGTTACACAATAAAAAAGTGATTTCACCAGGGTATATATGATACACATTTTAAAATTCGTGATTTAATATAGCGATAAACATAACATTTGCTACATTTTCAAGGTAAATATCTTTACATTGAATACCATCATTACCCATAAAAATTAATTTTAAAATAACTATAAAATATTCAGACTATTTCATTTGAAAGGCGTTTTAAATGATATTTATTTTCATTTTAGGAAGTAGTACAGGGCTTAAGGTTATAACAATCTTTTTCCTAAAAACCAATTAAGTATTCCTTTGATTATTTACAAACATAGAAGTACTTTAAAAAATATGACGTCAAAAAAAAATCAAAAAAATAGTTTATAACAGATGCCGGGTCACGTTGTTCTTCTATTTTTCTGGAATGGGGACCTTTTTTCCCCTTATATCTTATGAAATTTTAAAACAATGATATGAAAACAAGTTTTTGTTCAAAAAAGCGGCAAGTTTAAAAATTGTATTTTAAGACCCCAATTTTCCACCAAAACTTAAAAATTTAGAGACCCTTTTGTTGTTAAATCTATGACCTATTTTTTACTCTGCATTACTAAAAACGTATTTGAACGAGTAGATTTTAAAACATTTTCATTAACATTTATTGAGACAACACCTTCTTCACATCGCCAAGTCGAGATTTTTGCCAGGGGATTCCGATTGAGTACCTTTACTATAACTTTTGCAAGGCTTTTGAAGGATGTATTTTAGACATTACCATCGAATTTGATAAAGTTTGGCATCATGATTTGCTAGTGAAACATCATGGGTTACAATTACATCTGGAGTTTCCTAAGGACAAATTCTTGGGCTTCTTTCTGACATATATCAATGAAAAATTGTCATACGCCAGCCAACATTTCGTCTCTTTTACAAGACCAGAACACAAAATATTAGTTACATAATTCTCAATATTAATACAGTTCTTACAAGAACTTCTCTATCATTTAACTTCTTTTTTTGTCTGCACTACCCAAAGATAAGAAATACACATTTCATACATTGACCCCAATGTGCTCCATCGATCCTCGGACTCTCTTCTCTAAATTGAGACACAAGATCATCTAAATATCTGGAAAAAAGTGACCCCTCGGAAGCATTAATCACAACAAAATTACCAAGAGAAACTGCAGACTCGGTTTGATTGAGTCTGTACATGAGGGATAATGAATACGTGCAACATCCCTCACGCCCCCTAGCACCGGCTTGAGGCGTACTCAATTCTCACACTTAATAGTGCTGGCATCAATGATCCCGAAGGACCAGAAAAATATAACAACACTGAAGTGAAGTACGGGCAACTTTTTACAGCTGCCACACAGCACTTGACACCTGCTGTTGTGAAAGTATAAATATCTGGAAACAAAGTGATATATAAGTTCTCTTTCGATCTTATTCCCAATATCTGTATACATATAAAATATAAAAATTGATGACGTACTGAAATTATGTATATATATATTTTAATGGTTTTTGTGTCTTATTTGTAATGCGTCTAACAAATTAAAAAATTTTAAATGCTTTAAAAGTTGAACATGTTTTTGAAGGAAAATATACAGTTTATTTACCTGTAGTGGGCAATTGAAAATTATTTTACACTAACTATTTAAACAGAATTTACCAATTCAAAACATTTTTTGAAAGGAAAATGAAAAAAAAGTACAACTGGCATTTAAAACATCGTATTTATTGAATGCGTGCAATTAATAATAATAGTTTTACAATTTCGAAAACAAAAATAATTGATATGCCATAATCAAAATGACCAGTTTGTGTTGAAAATATAAAAGATAACTTTTAATTTTTACATGTACAGTATGTCGAGAAGAGTATTTATAAGAAGTAAATTCTTTTTTAAAAAAGGTTATGAGTAAGTTACATGACCAAATTGACCTGTTTTCACCATTTTTTTATTTTTTATTTTGAAAGTTTAGAACATCTTAAGACAAACGTTGTTTTAAGAATTAACATAACTGTTCACAGCTTTTATATTTACTGATCAGAGATGTGCATAATTTTGGACATATAATACAATCTACTGTGATGATTACACTTCGTGTTCTTATAAGTTTTTGTCTACGCTTGTGAATTACTAAAGATCTGAAAGCTGGTACATTTATACAATTATATATTTGAAGTCGAACCATTGAGAGGCCCTGTCTAACGCACTTTAATTTAATTCACTTTGCTCACTTAATAAGACTCCCTCACAGTCTATTGTGTACCAATTTGTCTCTAAGCTAAGTATCACAAATACTTAAAATCATAAAATCATATTTTATACATGAATTATGTAGATCAGGAAACGGGAATATTGTGGGTCATATATAATTGAATTCAGTTGTAAACTAGAAAAACATTTGACTGTATAGTTTAATGAACACAATTTTTATGACCGTTAAAATCTGCTTTAAGCATCAAAAACAAAATCATTTATTTATTCAATTGTTCACTTGCAGCATATTACAGAAGATGTTTTTCATTGATTTCTTCTGCTCGACTGTTAAAAATATCTCACGTTTCTCTCATCTCTTTTCTTCTTGTAAATTTCCATATTATTTTGTTTTCCCCTGTTTTAGAATCTACATGAAAACACTTTGTTAGGATGCTTGAAAAGGCAGCTATAAAAAGGCATCCGCCTGAAAAGAAAATACATCCACATGTTGGTTATATAATCTTAAGTACTAAAATGCTATGATACCATAACAAAGTGTTCGTGATTGAATAGATATCTTCAAAGATTTCATCTCAGATTTGTATTAAATTAATTTTACATGCGTTCAAGTATTAACACTTTACCTCTGTTAAATTTCTAAATTGCCCATATTGACTTCGACGAAACTAAATCCCCATCAAAAAAATAAACAAGAGGTTAAAGAAATTACAATATTAATTACATGGATTAAAGTTTAAATGTCCATGATTTGTGTTATCTTTTTTCTATCAAATTAAATAAAAATGCTAACAATAAGAAACAAAGTCAAGAAACAACAAATTTCTTGTTATTCAAATACTAATTATTGAGCAAGTTAAACACAAGAACATTAGGAGGACACTGCAAGTACAAGTGCAGTTTCATTACAGTTTAACCCGTAACTTAAATGTTTACATTTTACAGTTTGAAAATGTATGGTTCGCTGAATTTTGCTTGATGATACTACATTATGAAGTATAAAGTGAATGTTTCAACTGATTGATATCATAACATTAATATCTGCACCAAAAAAAGAGCTAATGTTAATGGTGGTGGTGGCAGTTTTCTCTCCGGATCACGGCAGTAAGCCACATCGAATTTACCAAAGCAGAGTCCAGCAAACGCATCGTTCCTGGACAGGCTGCCAAGCAGTTTACTAGTACTGGTTGCCTTCACTTTCGTTAGGAACTGATTACTCCTATACATGCAAGAGCAGTGGAACAGTGCGAATGACCGTAGAAAGAATTTCATGATCAATAACAACGAAATTGTCCTGCGCCGTCCGGGAATTGAACCCGAATCGCCCGATTCATTGTCCAACGCTAAACCTATTGAGGTAACCGTTTTTTCATATTTGGAAACCTATGCCCCCTGGGTGGGGGAAAGTTTGACACTAGAGAAAAATTTTGAACAAATTTGTTTGAGGACATATAGATGATATCATTTACCAAATATCAAAGCTCTAAGCCTAATATCTTCAGAAAAAAAGACTTTTTAAGTTATTCCTTTATGTATATAATGAAAATATACGTCCGGGATCACTTTTAGACAATACTTTGAATAATCTTGGTACAGGCCGTTCTACTACACAATGTTTTTCATATTTGGAAACCTACGACCCACCCCCGAGGTGGGGTGAAATTTGACAATAGAGAAACATTTTCAACAACTTTGTTAGAGGAGATATAGACGATATAAATTACCAAAACCAAAGATGCAAGCCTGATATCTTCAGAAAAGAAGATTTTTTTAAAGTGTTTACTGTATGTAAATAATGAAAAAAAAACTATCGGGGCGGGAGCGCTTTTGACCACAGGACTATAATTTGAACAATCTTGGTAGAGGTCTACAACACAATTTTTCATGCCAAATATCTCATCTCTAGCCTTTCAGAGTAGATGATTTTTAATTATTTTTTTTACATATAAAGGACATCCCCCTGGACCGAGGCCAATGTTAACCCCAGAGCTAAAGTTTGAACAATTTTTGTAGAGTTTTATACGATGATGTTACACACAAAATATCTAAGCTCTAGGCCTTACAGTTTAAGAGGACAGAATTTTTACTATCTGTAAATAATGAAAATCAATGACCACTGGAGTGGGCAAAATTTAACCCCAGGGTTATAATTTGAACAATTATTATTGAGTTTCATGAGGTAATGCTACACGAAAAAGCCAGTCGATTTATATGATTTCCTTTTTAAACTAAGATTATGGACTGAATAAAGCTCAAAGACCAATTGATGTCCGCCGACTGGTTTATGTGGTAAAATGTTTGCACGCACTGACGCACGGACGGACAATAGACACCGGACAAATCTTGATCGCAAAAACCTCTCATTGAGCACTATGTGCCCAGGTGAGCTAAAAAAAACAACAATAATAATAAACAACAGCAAAACCCGCATAGAATAAAATTAATAAAGCTTACCGGCAAAAGTCATCGCCTGTTCGTATGTACCACCACTGTCTATCAGTAAACCTATCAAAACATTTTAGCATCATTAATGTCCAATTAATCTCTAAAATATCGTGCGATTTATAATACTGTTGTACGTGTTAATGGAATTATTTCGAATAAAGACTAAAAGTTACTTAAATGAATGAAACACTTGAAGCTATTTTGACTTATTAAAATTTTAGATATAAATGAAACATATCTTTTTGTACATTTACCAGCAAACTCGGGTCCAAGCAAGGAACCAATTCCTCCGACAAAGAATTCGAAAGCGAGTGCTGCAGATACGTGTTTAATGTCAACGAAAGATAAATTAACTGATGTTATAAGAACGTAACAGCTGCCAAAAAAAAGTCCAAGAACTACTGCATAGCCTATATTTCCAGCTAGTGTATTTGAAATATGTGGATATACAATTGTTGCCACTGAAAGAACAAGGAACGAACCAGAGTACAACCAAATGTCTACAGATTTATGAAGACTTGCGACGAATCCAGTTAAAAGACGACCAATGACAGCAAAAATCCCTTTGAGCGACACCATATATGATGCCTGAGTTTTTGAAAATCCTTTATGCACGATATAAACAGGAAGATGTAAATAAATCAGATGAGTTCCGACACAGTAAAAAAACATTCCAAAACTTAACAGAAAAATAGGTTTGTTGTTCAAAGCTTTAAAATATTGCTTATAAACTTCTATGAATCGTAGGTTTGTGTTTCCATTTGGCAATGCATCTACATTGTTAAAAATGCGCATTTCCTGTGCATGTTTCTCAAGTTTACTAGGAAAATACGTCGCTCCAAAGACTACAATGTTTAATGACATTGCCGCTTGTACAATAAAAAATCCTGTACTTCCATAATATTCACGTGCAAGATGCATCAACGATGCAAGTGCGAATAAGCCAGCACCCATTCCGGAGCATACAAACCCTAACGCAATGTTACGTTTCCTTTTGAAATTATATCCAATCACAAGCATACTAGCTGTAGTGCCAAGACCAGCACCGCTTCCTAAAATGTAAATAAAATCATATTTATACGTATAACTTCCTAAAATGTGCACAAAATTATCGTTTCAAATGCCTAAAGAATGAAATATAAACGTCTTCACGTGCAGAATTACGGTTTTGATGAAAGGGTAGTAAGTTGGGCTAGTTTAAAGTTTCAAATTGTTTAAAAAAAAATCATTTTGATATATTTATTAATAGAAAATCATACCAGCAACAATGCCCAAAGTGAAGATAGCCGTTTGAACATTAGGTGCAAACGCTGTTCCCAAATATCCAACAGCAAACAGTATTCCTGATAACATGACGGCTGTTCGGCAGCTGAATCTATCCGCGACAAAGCTGGATAATGGCGCTGTAATATATATATATTCTAATATATGCTACTTTGTTATATAAATTAGTTTTATACCAAGATAGGATTGTATATTTTAAATACATTATTCGAGAGTGTTTATCTGTTTCTTCTGAAACGGTATTTAAATGGCCGTAAAAGAATATAACATACATAAAGACATACCTGCAAGATTTGTTAATGCTGTGTGTATTGAACCTGCCCAACTTGTAAGTGAAACACTTTCGTTGTATCTTTCTAGTAGAACATCATGCATTATTCCCACACCATATACATTCGCACCAATCAGGCAAAGTGTACCAAAACTTGTCAACATTATTACCCAAGACCATCCTTTGTCCAGTGATCTGAAATCTTGTGTATTACTTGAGGACTTCTCGATGTTTTCTTCCTTATTCTTTGATATTTTATCTGCCTTTATTGATTTCTCCTCCATCTTGTAAATGTTGAATAAGCCTCCTTTCATGTAATGTCTATAAAATGATAACAACATAGTATTTTATTTTTTCAAAGTTTAAAGATCTTAGGTTAATATACTTCGTTTTAATAGCCAGTTGTATTTTTTGCTATTTCAGATCCTGGTGACCTTGACTTTTCAAAATGGATGCGGCAGAAAGTACCCAACAAGAATACAAGTAATATGTTTCAATGAAACATATAAACTTAACCTATAAGGTTAACAAACGCCGACACAGACGCCGCTGTGTGGGTCATGAAATAGTTCCTCTTTTTTTTCAAAAAGCGAAGCAAAAAATTTGAACTGTAATATATGATTACCTAGTGAAAAATAGTGAAAAATAATATAATTTTAGTGAAAAAAAAGTTATATGCCTAAAAACATTGCCATTGATATAATGCGGCTGAAAATATTTCATCATATTTCATAGGTCACTAAGCATGCTTTTTATAATCGCGTTATTTATGAACAAAACGTCAAAACGAATTTGCATAATAAGCTCCTCGGGCAAAATATCTATCTCATAAAGAATATTATGGACTATTTCTACCCGTATATCCCGTAGACAACTTTTATAATTATATTCAGATATTCTTTTTTTTCCCAATTTTTATTTTTCATTTAATTAACCCAACTTAATTTTAAATTTTAATTTATTATAAAAATATAATTTGGAACCCCGTTTTTTTTTAAAGAAAGTTTAAAAAGGTTAATTTTGGTGAAAAATTATTAAATACCGAAAAATTTATAGTGTTTGAAAGAGGAAATTAAAAATGAAACTTTAATTTTAAATTTTTTAATTTAAAATTTTCTCAAAAATTGAATAAAATTAACTCCTTTTAATAACTGGAAATTTCTATATTAATAAACAATTAAACCCTTCTTTTGGTAATTTATTAAATAAAGATAAAGTGTTTAAAAATTAATTAAAAGTGTTATTATTTCTCTTATTTTAATCGCTAACAAATTTAGCCGTGTTTTTGGGGAAAATTTTTTCGTAAAAATCCGCCGGAACTATAAATTCATTTATCACGAACATTATATTGTGGCTTGTGTAAATTAGGTCTATCTTTTCGGCTTTTTTATTGTTGGATGGTTCCAGTATTCCCACTTGAAACTGTATAATCACCCTTAGGATATGCAATAGAATATATTTTATATAGTTTAAATGTGTGAATATATGTCAGATATTTTTTTTTTTGAACATTCTACCATATTCAAATATATTTTTAATTATTTACCTTAATAAAACATTTTTTCTCGAAAATTTAGGTCATAACACATATTAATATTTTTACAGCAGTGTATGAAATTACAGTTTCATTTCTTAACCCTTTACCTCATATTGTGAAAATGGCCGTTTTCATTGAAAAGCCTCCGTTAAAAGTTTTAAACTGCTATGAAAAAACTTTTTGAAAAATGCTTCAAAACTGATGAAACATGGCACAAATGTTGACTGGACCATAGCCTCTGTAACAGCATGCTCAATTTCCTGTTACCATGCCAACGGGGGGACATCTCAAAATTGCAAGATTATGGAATAGAATATTTTTATATAGTTTCCATGTGTGAATAGGGCATATATGTCAGATTTTATTTTTAACATTCTACCATATTCAAATATATTTTAAATTCTTTACCCTAATAAAACAATTTTTCTTGAAAATTTGCAAATATGTTTTACAACAGCGTATGAAATTACAGCTTCATTCTCAACGGTAAGATAAGCTATCCTAGGCATGTCATTGTAGAGCACGCGACTCATCTGGATTCTCCAAATGCAGATACTCTTCTTTCCTATTTGGCGTGCGTTTTTTTGTGTTTTTTTTTTTTTTTTTTTTTGTTTTTTTTTTTTTTGTTTTTTTTTTCTCTCATCGGGTAGTTCAAGTATTCCTCACTGTTTTAATCACCCTTAGGATATGTTTTTTTTTTTTTTTTTATTTTATTTCTATTTTGACAAATTACCTGTGATATGCAGGCTCACTTAATTTTACCAGTTCATGTCAAATGTTTATTTCTGTTGAAGCGATTGCAAAGGGATGATGACGATAGCTTTCAATAACCACTACTATCAATGAACAGAGTCAATCAAACGAACCTGCAACATTTTCATTTTTACCGTTTTGGTCTTTATAAGAGATTCTGTGTTTTTCTATTTTCTAAAAAAAATAATGCTGCTTTTCGTTTTTTATCTGCTGGGCATGTAAGCTGTCAATTATACTTAAACACTCTGGGCACTGTTGCCTAAAGGGGAAATCAACTAAATAATATATCAAAGTACATATCCCCTGATCTACTGAGATTATAATGAGATCGTCGGTGATTTTCTTTATTTTCTTTTATCTGATATATTGCCTGGTGTCCTTACGTAATAAGTGAATGTTAAAATCCTATTTTGAATACATTTGAGAAGGGTTGTGGTACTGTTACGTATGATAAATATATTTATATTCCCAAACGATAGGTAATAGTACAAAGCAAAACTTAGGACCAGGGACATTAAAAGAAAGAGAAAAGAAAAAAAAGGTTTTAAAATACAAGTAAATCAATGAGAAAAAACAACAGATTAAAAGAAAGAATAATGGCTAAGTCGGGACGACTTTTATTGATAAGTTTAACTAAAAGCAACGTACTATAATGACATTGAATATTATTTACCAGGTTAAGTCAGTGTTGGACTGAGAGGATAGTGTCACATAGAGGGCGTGAAATGTGATGAAAAATATAAAAGAAAGACGGAAGATTACTCTTTAAATTGTTTTAAACATTTCAACTATTTATACAACTTTAAACCACGAGGCCTATAAATAAACGTTCAAGTTGTATGTTTGATAAAAGAGACGTAATTTTGTTGATAACAATAACTTTAGGATTATATTAAGCGCGAATCTTTTACTAGGATGACTAGCCTTTGTTTTCTAAAGTGGTGGCGATGACTTGTGTTCATTTTCATTAACCATCCTTAGTTTATGACTTATCATTATTAAAAATTATCACGGGCTCTCGATAATGTGTAGCAAGAATCACACGCCATCCATCTCCTTTCGACCATTGGATCCCCGCGAAACGCATACTAAATATTTTTTTCAATGAATTTTTATCACTTGTCAACAACCGAGAAACACACACAATTTATTCCAAAATTGCTAATGGCTCCAAGAATGAAAACCAAGAAATATCACCCATGGATATGATGTCGTGTATCGCGAATCGTTGTTCTACTTCAAATATCTGTCTGTTCTAGAATCGTCTATGATAAGGAACATTTAATGTCACCGAATACATATCGTCCATTAACACTTGATTGCGATGTCCACATTATTTAGAAATTAAAACATGTCTGTGTGTCTCAAATTAAATTAATGAAACGTTCTATACGCGTCATATTTTCTTCGACGTTTGAATACTTCATTTCGAATAAATTTTAAGTTTAAAAGAATGTAAAATAGATATGTTGTATAAATTTTTTAATTTACGTTGAAAGCACATTCATATTTTATGCCAGATTGTAGCCTTTTGGGGGGTCATTACTTAAGATAACTTAGTCTTATTTACTTTGAAAGGTGCTTGCTTTGATAGAGGGACTAATGCCTTCTATAAACTTTTTAAAACCGCACACCAATTAATTTTCATATCGTTTCCTTCGCGTTTTCTTCATTCAGAGACATTAACTTTCTCCCTTTCTTTCTTTTGTCCTTTTTATACATGACAGTTTAACCCACGAAACTAATGTAATTTATCCATTACTTGTACAAGAAATCCATAAAAATGTACTTTAAACATCAGAGTTTGAGTTTGCTTTTCACCTTTGACCTATCATTTGTAAAATGAGTGACTGCATACCATGACATTCATAAGTGCATAAAGCTATATATACAGTATTATTATGCAAAATAGGAAACTGAATATTTATTTGATCGGCAAATTTTTGAAACTGATATTGAAATGTCCAGGATAAACCATATTAAAACGTAAGTGTATATTTCATTTTCGTCTTTTGTTCAGCATATTTATGATTTATAAATTTAGTTGTCTCTATAAACATCACTTATTACCTAACATTAAGCTTTTTAGACTCTTGAAAAGGAAAGACAATTATGTCATATAAGTATGACTAAAACAACTAGCATAACCCAAACGCTGGATAAAGGATGGTCTTGGATTGTAATGTTGGCATGTTTTTGTACATTCTTTTTGATAGGTGCAAATATTCTTGGTGTTGGAATTATGAATTTGGTGCTTCTTGAAAGATACGGTGAAAATGTTTTACTAACAGCTTGGGCAGGTTCATTGCATACAGCATTTGCGGCTCTTGGAGGTATTATGTCAAGCCTTTTTTCTCATTGTGCACACATCATCATTTCACATAAAATATTTATAAAGACAATATCTATTGTTGAATTTAAAACATTTATAAATCGTTAAAATTCGTTAAATTCGTATTGATTTAATTGATATGAAATGCAATTCCATTACAGGTCCGTTATCAAGCTTTTTGGTAGACAAATACAGTTGTAGGACAGCCGTTGTATTATCAGGACTAGTTTTTACAGCTGGGTATTTAGGAACAGCGTTTGCACCTAATATTCAAACTACTATCTTCACATTAGGCATTGTCGCCGGTATGATCAATTCTTTTATACCTGTAATGATTAATTCATTTTCAAAAACGTGACCAATTCTATTCATTTTGAGGTGTTGTGAAGACAATCGGTATCAAACGAACTGGAAGAACTGGAATTGATTTGTTAATAAGATTTAATTGTCATATGAAAAAAAAAAATATGTAAGCTTTTAAAAGGGTTATTTGATTTTGTTTTAGGAAGTGGCGCAGGCCTTGGTTACACCTCTAGTATTGTTGTGATTGGATTCAATTTTAAAACGAAACGTGATACTGCTGTGGGATTTGCGCTATCTGGATTGGGGGCAGGACTGTTTGCCGTTGCTCCATTGATGCAACTTGCAGCCGAACACTATGGAACAACAGGATTTTTTATCATACAGGCTGCAATCTCATTGAATATTGTAGTTTTTTGGGACCACATATTTTCCTAGTAAACTAGAGCTACATACACAAGAAATGCGAAGATTCAACAATGCATCGTTGTCTGCAAACGCCATAACACGCTTCCGCAAAGCCATCAAACCATATAATAAAGCTTTAAATAACAAACCTATATATCTTTTGTGTTTAGGAATGCTTTTAAATGGTGTCGGAATTTATTTAATATATCTATATTTTCCTATCTATATCGTGTATAAAGGATTTTCAAAAGCTCAGGCATCATATATGTTGTCGATTATAGGAATATTTGCAGTAATTGGTCGTCTATTAACTGGATTCGTCGCAAGTCTTCATAAATCTATAGACATATGGTTGTACGCTGGTTCTCTCGCTGTCGTTTCGATTGCTACTATTGTATATCCACACAATTCAAATACACTTGTAGGACAAATAGGCTATGCAGTAGTATTTGGACTTTTTTCCGGCAGCTGTTTTGTACTTTTAACATCAGTTAATATGTCGTTTGTTGATATAAGGCACGTATCTGCAGCAATCGGTGTCGAGTTATTCTTCTGTGGAATTGGTTCCATACTAGGACCGGTATTTGGTGGTAAGTTTTCATGTTAATTTAGTTTTTAATTCTTTTTTTTTTCATTCTGATATAAAACAATGTACAGACATCATTCATTATTTGGTTGCATATTTCTAAAGAATATACTAAGAAAATTAAATTAATGTGAAAACATAGTATAAAATGTTTGAACAATATTTATAGGTGGACTGATAGACAATGGTGGTACCTACGAGCAGGCAATAACATTCGCAGGTAGGATAAAACTTTAAACATTAAATGAAAAATATATTCTTTTCTTTATGAATCAGACTTCCCTGTTTTAGAACTTAATTAACGTATTTGTTTTCCAGTATTTTCAAATTTTAAATTCTGTTGATAAAGTCGCTTCATTTTTCAAGTTTCTATATCAAAGCTGAATGTTTACAGTTTTAGATATTGACATATCCTCTGTAATAATCAGATAAAAGCAACACGGAATAATTTTATGGTTATATATTGACCTTCTAATTTTCCTGAATAATTGTTTCCTCTGTAAGGCAAAGAAGTACCTTAGGTTGTGGGTAGATATCTTATAACATTTTCATAAATATATAAATTGACAAAGACGCAAGCATGTAAAAGATAACAATATAGGCCGTAATGCGAAGTATTTCCAACATATTAGTTGGTAACATGTATCATTAGAGACTCGTTGGTAGATTTCAAATTTGTGCATCTATCAGCCATTTCTAATTCTTTATACAGTACATGATACGTACACTGAACCCATACATTATACACATTATTTTACAAAGCTGCTTTTCTGACGTATTTTTGTAATCCTTCACAAAGCCGTTTATGGCAATTCAACAATTCTTTTGACCATTGGTTAAGAATGCAGCACTTGTTTGACCTTAATATCCTAAGAATGTATCCCATTTCAAAGAACGTACTACCTTTAACGCGATCATTTTATGATTGTGAACATATTATTGATATTAGAATGTACTATGTTTCAGGAGGATGTTTATTTGTAGGTGCTATTTCCAGCATCTTTACAAAGTGCTTTCGCGTGGATTTCAATACAGATGAACACTGTACATTGAAGTTACAATAAGAAACAAAGGAAGACAAACATGACTTTTCCTTGGGAACAACGTTAATTCGTCGTTCATATTTGCAGTTAACTTCTCAGATATCCTTTCAGTTTGATAAAATAAGATTAAGGAAGTGATCTACGATGAATATGAATTATTATAAACAGAAGTACATGTAGTCAAAAAGTCTCCCACAAAATGGCAATGTTTGGTACAATGGCCAACTACCGATATCAATATTTTTCTTAATACCTAAAAAACCTACTTCGGCCATGACCGTCAAACCTCGGATAAGAATTTCGGACACAGTTGTACGAATACTCAGGTTGTCCATGATATTTCAGTTTAAAGTGTGTAACAAAAATAAATGAAATATAAATCTATACCAGTGATAAGAAATTGTTTGGAAATACTTAATCCCTTCATTTCGCCCCTTTGTAAAAGTCACTTATATAACGTTCACGTAAAATTTACTTTATATTTTTGAAGATGATCATTTTTTTATTCATTAAATTATATTATAAATGGTACTCTAAAGTTGATTTTGATTTATAAATATTATTTTTAAATAGCACCTACTATTTCTCTGTATGTTATGTGACATAAAAAGCCTAGATAAAGTGTGATTCTTCGGAAGCATTAATCACAACAAATGTGGTTGGATTGAGTCTGGTGGATAGTGTAAAATGCAACATCCCTCACGCCCGCTAGCACCGGTTTGAGCGGTACTCATTTCCCAAAATTTAAAAGTGTCGGAATCAATGATCCCGTTGTACGGAGTATGGAACAACGTGTCAAAGCTGTATACATCACTTGTCACCTGCTGTTGTGAAGAATAATAATCTGGAAAAAGTCCCTATATTATTCACAACAAAATTACATGAAATTTCCAGGCTCGGTTTGATTGAATCTGTACATGAGGGAAAGTCATGTAATAGAGCAATTTAAATTTTTATTGTTTCCTAGATGATGACTGTTTATCGACGAGGTGTTTCAAATGGATTTAAGAGGACTGTATTACAACAAAGTCCAAGAAATTTTTCTGCGGAGAAAGGGGTTACAATATTTACTATGACAGTAACTAGTTATTCAATATATCAATCCCTGAAGCAGCTTTTGAAAATTTAACTTACGCTTATCCTGCTGGAATCAAAAGTGATTTGACTATGGCACCAGTATATAGCCAGGCTATGTTTGTTCAGCCTGGCCTAGCTCAGTACTTTTGGAAGCTCATTTTTTATGTATTTTATTATTGGAATCCCATAATTTTCTTAACTCTTTAAAACTTTGTTAAAATCAAGCAGATTATAAGTTATAAAGTAAAGGTTTACTTTTAAAGATTTTAATAAACTATATACGAATATAATAATGGCCTAATTTCAGGTAGATTGTGGGCAAATCCGATCAGCCGACATAGTGTAATAATGTGTCTTACACTCGAGATTTACATTTTTCTCAAAGGAATCTAAAATTATTGTACGTTTACATATCGTCTGATTGTTCATATTTTTTTATATACAAATTATGTTTTCGCTATGTTTTTGACATTGATAATATATACTTGTATTGCAATGTCGCATATAATTTCATAATTAACTCATAAGACATTAATTTTGTATTCGATATGTGAAATCGGTTTATGTTTCGTATAAGGTATAAAATGTATGTTTCAAATGTGATCGTAAACTAAGCAGTCTTAAACAAAAAAGTATATGAACAAACCAGATCATACAAAAAGGGGAACAAGTATAAAATGAAAAAGAAGCAAATTGGCACCACAACGGGGTTAGGAAACATCTAGGAAAATGAATACTCTTTAGAAATTAGGCATCTAATATATTATTAAATACCTTTTTTACATCTGGAAGATGAAAGAATTTTGTTGTTTTTATAACTCATATTATGCTTGATAAAACATTACATAAAATAAACGAGGGTTGATCCAAAGGTTACGTCACTATGATGGGAAAGTTTCCCTTTATATCACATAGAAAATCACGAAATTCATTAATATACGAATATCTGCTCCTATTTTCAATGGTAATCTAATACGGTCGTTTATATAGTTAAATTAAAGGCAACCGATTCACGTTAACCATATCTATGATTTTGGCATGACAGGTAAAGGTCCACACTCCTCATTTAAATTGAGTTCTTTTGTGCTAAGTACAGCGTTGATGTCTGATTACCTATTTATGAAAAAACTATTGAACATCTAGCCTAAGAAATAAACACAAGTTTGCGGTTACAGGCTACTTAATTGTGATCATGATACTGGAAATGTGCACTGCCATTTGATCCTTGGGGAATGAAAACAAAGCAGTAACAAACACTGAACAGCTCAAAATGATAAACACATTTTTTGTTTCGTACACATGTGTAAACGTGCTACATGAACAACAAAAGTATTAATTATCCTTGATATGCAAATACCCACTCTTTATAATAAGAAAAAATATCAATATTTATTTACATGGACAACTATCCAGTATTTAGAATAAGAAGTATACTAGTATACAAGCAATCATATGAGCCGCGTCACGACAAACCAACATAGTGCGTTTGCAACCAGCATGAATCCAGATCAGCCTGCGCATCCGCACAGTCTGATCAGAACCCATGCTGTTCGCTTCAGGACCCATGCTGTTCGCTATCAATTTCTCTTTTTGTTATAGATTTTGGTAGGCGAATAACATGGATCCTGATCAGACTGCGCGGACTGTTCGCAAAATCATTATGTTGGTTTTGTTGTGACGCGGCTCATATATCTATACAAACATGTAGTTGGACAATTTCTTGAGAAATAAGTTGGAAACAAAAATGATTAGAATTGAACGTATTGAACCTATTCATAAACAATCGGAAAAACAGATAAGAACATTATTATATTGGTATTGTTTTCTTTGTGTTGAAGCCGTGATTGTCTACTTATTTCCACAATATTTTGCAAATTCCAAAAAAAAAATCCAGTTTAGAAATAACATCCGTAATGATTTCTACAATATTTCGACAATTCAAAAAAAATTCATGTTAAAAATAACAACCGTAGCTTCGCGGGCGGTCATACGAAAAAGTGAAAGTGTATTCAATTACAGTACCCATTTTTGCTAAGTTGCATTAATTTTAAACAATGTAAGTTTACTTTTTTAGTTTATAATTTAATATCACTTATTTTCCAGTTCTATATGGAAATTGAAATAAAAGTTATCTGGTACGCATATCTACAAATAATACAGTATGCATCTTTATGAATAGCTCAAATAAAAGAAGCGAATGTTTTAAATTCTTACATTCACACTGAATTTAACACTACAAATGCAAATTGCTTTTTTTCAAATTATGTGTTCAAAGGCACATTTTGCACACTTTTTTCTCCTTAAGAAAGAATTTTACGACATTTAAATAATGATTTTAAGCATGTCAGATGCTTCAAAGCTAAAGAAAGTAGCGTTAAAAGTAAAAATATTTGTAATAAAAGTCGAAAAATGTAATTAATGTAAACAAAGTCATTATAACTGTACTTGTTGCAAAGAAGCTACAGAAGAAATTTCAGGTATTTGGAAACTATAAACGTACAACATTAGATAATAAGTAATATAGTAAAGGCATTCCTATGGCATAACGGTCATTAACGAATAATACATATTAATGTTTTTTCTTGTACATACTACGGTCGCGTTACAAAAGCAATTGTGTGTAAAGTAATGAATTCAACAAGTCCTGAAATCTATATTACACACAGTATAAAACTAATCAGTGAAAAATATAGTAAATATTGTTGATTACATTGGTAAACGAGATGATCGAAAACATTGTCTTTAAATAATACAGTTTTTCATGGCATTTTAAATCTGCTAAGACCGATGGTTTACAAACACTTTCATTTATACTATTGTAAGTGAACACATGCGGCATAAAACAGAAGAAATTATTAACCGAGTTTCAAGAAATGTCAAGCTTGTCTCCGTTGGATCGTGTTTTGAATCTCCATGTTATTTTGGATGTATCCGTATCTACGTGAAAACACTTTGTTAAAATGCTTAAAATAGCAGCTACAAATAAACATCCACCTGAAAAGAAAATGCAATAGTTATGATGTATGATTCTCTATTCTATAGTGATATATTAACTAAAAAGTTTTTGCACCTAAATATTTGATGCCCTTTCCATTTAATATTATACAGTACAATTATTGCCTGAAAGCATTTCACGTTTATTTGGTTGTGTTTAACCTGCTTTCCTTGTTAAAAAAGAGTCTGTGGCTAAATTTAGCAGAGTTACCTCTCATTTTTGTTCGTATAAATGAAATAAATGTTTATATATATGTTTTCGTTGAAACTAACGTTAAAAATTAAGAAAGAACATCAGTATTATATGTTACATCTAAATAAACAACAAAACACCAAAAAACAGAAAAAAACACTGTAACAATAGATATTAAATTCTAAGCAAGCTTACCGGCAAAGATTATCGCCTGTTCATATGTTCCACCTTTGTCTATCAGTAGACCTGTATATAGACAAATGCCATAAATGATTCCTAGTATCTTTAAAACATTTCATTTTATATTCAAATAATGTTGCTATGTTTTTGCTATGAGAATAGAAATTAAAATAGAATAAATAATATTGATTTAACAGTGTGAAGTGATTTAGAATAATCATATAGATGATAATCAATTACCAGCAAATTCTGGTCCGAGTACGGCACCGATTCCTCCGAAAAATAATTCGACACCAATAGCGGCAGATACATGTTTCATATCAACGAAAGGCATGTTAACTGACGTCATCAGAACGTAACAACTACCGAAAAAGAGTCCAAGGACTACTGCATATCCTATATGTCCAACAATTGTATTTGAAATGTATGGATATACAATTGTGACCACTGAAACGACAACGAATGAACCAGAGTACAACCAAATGTCTATAGATGTATGAAGACTTGCGACGAATCCAGTTAAAAGGCGACCAAAGACGGCTAATATCCCTGTGAGTGACAACATAAATGATGCTTGGGCTTTTGAAAATCCTTTAGACACGATATAAACAGGAAGATGTAAATATATCAAGTAAGTGCCAATACAGTTTAAAAACATTCCAAAACTTAGGAGAAAAATAGGTTTGTTGTACAAAGCTTTAAAATATTGTTTAAAGACTTCTGTAAATCGTAGGTTTGTGTTTCCGTGTGACATTGCAGTCAGATTGTTGTAACTGCGCATTTCTTTTGTATATAGCTCTAGTTTACTAGGAAAATAGGCAGCACCAAAAACTGTAATGTTTAATGACATTGCGGCTTGTATGATAAAAAAACCTGTACTCCCATAGTAATCGTTTGCTAGTTGCATAAGTGGTGCAAGTGCAAATAGACCGGCCCCCATTCCAGAAAGTACAAAACCTAAGGCAATGTTACGTTTTGTATTGAAATTGAATCCAATCACAACCATACTAGATGTATACCCAAGACCAGCACCACTTCCTAAAATGTAAATAAATTATCAATAAAAATAAATCATAAAATATTATGTAAATATTTTAACGTACATAACAAATGGTATGACTAGATAGTAGTTTTTTCGGCTTGTACAAACGTTTTTAATTGTTTAACAAACAATATAGATATTTTTTTTATAAAGTCGAGCTTTTAAAATGGGAATATACCAGCAACAATGCCAAATGTAAAGACAGCTGTTTGGACATTAGGTGCAAACGCTGTTCCCAAATACCCAACAGCAAACAGAATTCCAGATAACATCACGGCTGTCCGGCAGCTGAATCGATCCACAACAAAACTTGACAACGGTGCTGCAATATATAAGCCATTTTGTCAATGAGTTATGAATGAGTTCTTAAAAATATAAATTAAATCTTATACCAAACATGAGTGTATGTTTTAATAAAAATCAAAACATATTTACTAATATTCAAGAGTGTACGATTGTATCTGCTTGCAGACAGAGATGATATGATAATATTAAATGGCCGAAACAATGTCATTCACATAAAGTTATACCTCCTAGAGACATGAATGCTGTGTGTATTGAGCCTGCCCAAGCAGTGAGCGAAACACTTTCGTTGTATCTTTCCAGCAGGACAGCATGCATTATTCCCACACCATACATATTCGCACCAATGAGACAAAATGTCCCAAAACTTGCCAGCATTATAATCCAAGACCATCCTTTATCCAGTGATTTGAAATCTTGTAAACTATTTGAGGGTTGTTTTAAAGAGTTTTCCTTCGTCTTCGGGGTTTCATTTGCCTTTGTTGGTGTCATCTGCATTCCATAGAAAATAAATGTTGAATAAGTATTCTTCGAATGATAATAAGAGGTTATCTATTTTTTGTTCACCAACTATTCTATATTAATTTCGAAAATTTTGTTGAAACCTTATACGAGGGTTGTCCGAAATGTAATGTGTATTGTACGATATCTAAATGGCATTTGACCCATTCACATGAACTTAACAAAGCTTTAAAATATTGAAATACATAATTTCAATCTCTAAATCTATTTAAACATCTGAGAAACTGACTTACGGTTGAGCTAATGGTCTGTCGGGTCTTGTATCGACGACCAGTTAAAAATTTTGTAGAAAGGAAAAGACGCATGGGGATGGAGTGTGTATAGTGGGTGTGGCAAGACGAAAACATTCTTCGAACAAAATGCTCTCAAATCTCAGAGGTGTATAATGGAGCATTATCATGACGTAAATTCTGACACAGAGTGCCGTTTTTTGGATAATAATTTTAGGTTTTAAGCGTAACATATCGGTAACATCAGTCCGTAACACTTTTCCCGAAATTTGTCCGGCTAAACCCTCATGTATAAAAAAAGGACCATCTTTGTGTTTATGGTCCTTTTTGCAACTGCAGGCCTTCTTCCTTGTTGGTTAGCCATATTTTGCCATTACCAATGTTTTCAAATTGTTTTTGATGTTTGGAAGCAATTTGAGCAAATGCTAAGCAGTTTGTACTCTTACCATTTTGGTCATCTGTCAATATATATTGGGTATCCATCTTAAGTCGTTCGTATTTTCAAAATATGCTTCAAAATAAAATGCATCTCGGAAAGCAAATTGTATACCTATCATTATTCTTGTGTTTTGCCTAATTTAGTCACAGGTCGACCAGAGCTAGCTGCATCTTTGACGGATTCTGTGCAAGTCAGAATATTATTTCTCCACCTACAAACTGTCTCATAAAATACCTTATCAGGCCTATAAACTTACCCTTATTCGGTAAAAATCTGTAATACCTAATAACAAATGAACCTAGTTTTGTGAGAACTTTTATATCAGCTCTAATTTCCTCAACTTTATCAAAATTGTGATTAGTTATTTTATATATAAATTTAATTTTATATTCGGTTGTGTTGGAAACTATAAGCGTATTGAAACACTTTCGAATCTGTTCCTGTAATAACCAGCAGTAAGCAATAAACGTAAAGTTTCACATCAAAGTTTAAAAATGTATTTAGCTTAATGTCAGTGCTTATACCTTTGAAATCATATTGAATACAGCTGTTCAGGCTTATCAGCAACTACGGAATCGAGCAAAGTTTAAATGTACATTTCATATCGAACAACCCTTAGAAATGAACGTAAATTAAAAATGAAAATAAGCTCTAACAATTATATCAAGCTCTAACAAAAAAGATTGGCATTCTAAATGCTCCCGAAAACAAAACAGTACTCACTTTCTTTGGTATGTTTTTGCTCCTGAAGTATTTCGTTTATTCCCTTCGCAATAAATCTATTATCCCCTCTTGAACAGTTCGTCTTTGTACATTTGCAAAAACACAGCAAAAGTTGACACTATTTAAAATAAAATAATAATATGAAGCTGTAATTCTATAAGGAAGTTTTAAGTATATTCATTTCCCAAACTTATCCTTAATTAATATTTTAACTCGATTGTTTCCCATAAACACAATAAGTATTAAGTTGTCAAAATCACAGTCGTGTGCCGTATTCCACATGCATTCAATCAATTGTGTTTGATAAATTGTATTTTGTTTTATCTGCAATCTTATCCTAATTTTAATTTTGAAAATTAAAACTACATCTAAAACTGACACTACTGTCAAGGTATCAAAGGTGTCATGTAACACGCTAAAACGTAACTTTATAAAGCAGTTACTATAGTATTTGATACAATGTCACAGTCAAAAAATAGAAACGACAAACAAATCTATTCCCGTTCGGCTTATATATCTCTATATATTTTTTTTATTTTTTCGTTATAGTATCGGTGCCTTTGTAAAATTTATGAAAATACCTTGATATATGAATATCGGCATTAGGTGTTTAAGGTAAAAAATATTTGTATTTATTGTTACAGTAACCACTTCAACTTTTTTCAGCTTAAAACTTTTACCTTTGATACGATCTCCTAATTTCTGAACTCATTGTATATAAAAATCTACGCAACAAAATCTCCGTATAACTTAACTGCAATTCAAATGCACGTGTCTTGTGTATGATACTTTAAAGCCCGCTATAAACCACAAGTATCAAGTTATTTGACAGAAAATATTATTTATTATTATCATTATTTACCAAACTTAAATAATGCATTTTTCATGCACACGTTCAAATGCGCTTTAATTTTACGTAGCCTGCAGTTGTTATTTTTGATTGTAATATTGGTACAAAATAACTAAAAACAAAAAAGGGCAAACGAATAATGGTAGCGAAATATCTGACCCTCATATGCTTATTCAGTAGTCCGAAATCCTCGAAGCGGTTATTTCCCTTTATAAATGAGTACACAAACGCCGAAAACTTAAGGGGAGATCACTGCTTAAAGATTGTCAAATGACAGCCGTATTAATTTTCAAGCCTTCTCGGGGAAGAAAAAGATAGTTCCCGATTGGCCGAAGATTTCTAATATTGTGTAATTAATAACGGTTACAAACCCTATTTTAGAATAATGTCGTTTTCTACAGGCTGTTATCTTATAACTGCCCCGTGGTCGAGGGGTTACATGCTCGTTTAGGTAGAGAGAGGTCTGGAGTTTGTTTGATATTTTTTTTTTAATATCAGTCCACCAATAAACTTCTATCAATCTGGTTGAACTGCCTGATTAACGAAACGCTACAGCAGATCACAGCTTTACAGTACTGCAAACATCAGAAGCTATGCATCAAAAGAAACATGGAACATGTATTAAGATCATTACGAGCACAATATCAGAAAATTATTCAGCGGTGAAATGATATGTGTATATACGAAATTATATATGCGAAAATGCGGTAATCTGGTTGGGAAATTTGTTTACATCTTGAACGAAATTTCCGCCAGAAAATTCAATTTAACGATTTCGTTATGTTAACGAAATTGACTTTTTTGCAAAATTTTGCTTTATCCATAAATATGGGAACGAACTTTATTCGAAACCTCTGTAATTACTTTACGTTTGGGCAATGGAACTGTGAAACTGAGTACATGTATATGTTGTGTTTTTTCTTTGTGTATTTAACGGATTTTATGTTACATATTAATGACTTTTTTAAACGTGCACATATGTACAATATTTCAATGACTACCATATGATACAAGATTAAACAAACATCATACCAATATCTAAATTTGATATAGAAGAAGCAAAAAATATGTCTTTCAAATTGAAACCTTAGTACGTAAATAAATAATTTAAAAACATAAGGCGATATCGCCCATGTTTATATTGCAAAATGTATAAGAATGATAGTAAGTTAACTGTAGTACTTTATTGTAAGTTTTCTTTTTTTACACAAATCGACAAGTCTGACAATTTTTGTTTAATAGATGAAACAATAATGTCGCGTACAAGGATAATATTTTAGTATCTTGGGCATACGCTCGCATTGATTTTCCTATAGACTTGCATTATGAGAAATGGCCCCTAATCCAAACTTAACAATGATTTTCCCTCCTTTAAAGAGGTGATTTTCCTAGGAGAATGAAATGCCTGACACATAAAAGTGATTTTATTGTATAAGGGTAGCCAACCAATTTTTTGTTTTTAAAATAACTTTAAAGAGCATTATAGTACTCCCTTTTCATTGATTTTTTCTGCTGATCACACTGTTTATAAATGCAAATATCTAAGTCACAAATTACCAAAGAGACTTATGAAATATTTCATTTTTATTAGGAAACAATGTAGTGTTAGTTTCTATATAAGTTTACATACTTAAAATTAATTGTCTTCCCATCACCTCATGCCCAATATAATCTTTTGGTTTAATCTGCATTTTTTAGCCAATGCGAAAGTATGACCTCTTCTAAAGCTCCAGTTTTGATTAAGAATACGCATACGGTTACACATAAAAAATGACAAGCCTGTAAACACGGGGGTGGAACCCCATATGAATCTCAAAAATGAGCATCGGTAAAAATGATATGTGAATTTCCGCTGCACCAGATGTGAAGCATAACACCAGATGTGACTGGAAAAATAGGCCGATCGCAAGGTAAGTTTTCATCTTTTTA